GTGTGTGTGTGTGTGTGTGTGTGTGTGTGTGTGTGTGTGTGTGTGTGTGTGTGTTTGCATTTGGTTGATGACTTGCAGCAGCAGCTGGCAGCGTACGTCTCCTGGGTGAACTCTCAGCTGAGGAGGAAACCAGGCCTGAAGGCGATCACAGACCTCAGGCAGGATCTGCAGGATGGAGTTGTGTTGGTGCAGCTGATAGAGGTCGTAGGTAAATATCACACACACATCGATTGCTCACGTGCAACTCACGAGGATTGATGAATTTATGCTGCCTCTCTGCAAGAGATAAAACCTTTTTTATAGTAAACAATTTCAAACTTGAAATAAAATGTATGGTACAGTCTTGTATGATATTTCTGATGTCCCTCCCTTTTGCTCTTGTTTTATTGTGTTTGGCAGCTGGTGAGGTGCTGGAGGGAGTGTTTACGCCTCCACAAAACAAAGAGGAAAGCAGAAAAAACGTGGAGAAAGTGTTGCAGTTCATTTCCTCCAGACACATACGCATGTCGCACATATCCGCAAGAGGTAAACCACAATGAATTTTCTTTTTTGCTAACTTTGTTTTTAACTTGTTCCTCCTTATTTCTAAGATCAGGTGTTCTTAAGATTTTGATGTCATGAAGTTGTTCTCCGTGCATTTTTACAGATATCACTGCAAATATTTGATTTTTTAAAATAAATTTTTATTTTATTTTCTCTAATAAGACTGAATGACACTCACTGAAATTGTGTTGTGTGATTGTTCTGGTTAAAAGGCCGTGGGAACTAGGGGTGCTGTGGGTCTTGCAGCACAGCCCTGTGTATGAAAAAAAGAACTTGTCCAATAAAAAAGGCAGAAACTGTACTAGGGTCACTAGAACTGAACAATATTGGAAAAAAAAAACTGTCATTCAATTTTTTCTTACATATGTTGCGATATGAAAAAATACAGGAATTTTCAACAGAGGTCTTGAATAACGTTTGAAGTTGTGCTGCCATCTTGTTGATGATGAACCTGCACTGATCTTGTTTCTCTCTTTTTTCCCCCCAAGTGGTGTTTCTCAGGGGACCTAACTGTGCTGCTTTTTTGTTTTTCAGATATTGTCGATGGCAATCTGAAATCTGTAATGAGGATCATTTTGGCCTTGGCGGCCCACTTCAAACCCTCAGCCAGTCAGAGGACAGCTTCTGGGAGTGGGAGGGGCTCCATAAGAGGCAACACGAGCCACAATCCTCACTCCACCATTGCACTCGCTCAGGGGGCCGCCGCTGCGCTGGCGTCGGCTCGACTCGATGCCTCGCTGTCAACTCACGCCGCACGCATTAACAGGTAACACCAGGTGCTAATATCAGCGCTGACTGTAAGCCTAATCACCTACAGAGACAAAAACATGTTGAAGACCAGATCAAAGGTGTTTGTTCAGTCTTAAACTTATTTRATGTTTCAACTTCTCTGATTGCGTTGAGCTCAAAGATCATCCACACCTGATGCAAAGTGGTGGAGCAACAGCCTTCAAGGTTTTGCTGCCCTCTGGTGGACACATGAGATATTTTTATTGTTATTCCTCACTGCTGAACTCTTTGTAGACCAACGCCGTGCACCACTAACACATCATCACTTCTCTGTCGTGTGTGATCTTTCAGGGCCTGGGGGTCAGACGGAGGGAAGAGTTTGTGCGTCCGTGACTTGGTTCAGCAGTATGAAAGAGGAGGCCCAGATGAGCAGAGCAGCTCTCTCCCAAGCAGGTAAGACTCAGTCATAGAGCTGCATAGACTGAGTCCACTGTTAACAGTTTACAATTAGCTTCCTGGAGCAGAAGAGAGTTGGTGCTGGTTGAAAACACGCAGAGTTGTTGAGTTAAAAACAGTTCTTTACTTTCTGATATGAGTTAAAACTCTTTAATTTCATGTTTGAACTGTCTTTTTGAGAATATCTTTGTAAACAGATTACTTAAGACAGGGGTTTTCAAGCCATTTGGGTCTGGGGACCACTTACAAGGGTGAAAAAAATTCCAGAGACCCCCTCATAAACCTCATGCTGTTTTAAAATATAATTTATTGTCATTTAAACCCCTAAATGCCATGGAAATATATATTTTTATTAAGTTTATTATGCTTGTTTTATTAGTTTGTTGTTCTCCATGCATTTTAAAAAAATAAAAACCAAATTAACATTTTAGTAAAAAAATTTGCGGACCCCCGAGATACCTCTCGCAGACCCCTGGGGGTCCAGGGACCCCAGTTTGAGAACCTCCGACTTAAGAACATGCTGATGTGGGTTAAGTTGGGTCAAGCCTTTGGGAAACTTTTTTTTTTGTCAGATATGGTTTCCTAATTTGGCGAGGTCATGCTGGATTAACTGTAGGCAAGAAAAAGAAACAATAAAGTAGGTTATCTTCTATTTTTGAAGCAGATTTTTTTCCTCACTTTGCAAACAGAACACATTTTGTGGTTTAGCATATGACTTTGGTGTCAGTGCTCCAAGTYTTACACTAATGTGTGTCTGTGTGTTCGTTCAGATCCAGGCAAAACAATGACAATAAAACTGTTTTTACTTTTTCATATYTTTAGTTTTAACAGCGGAAGATCAGTGCATTTGATCTCAGATTTAACACAAATAACCATTTTTTAACCGTATTGTTTAGTGAGAAATACTGAGCCATGTCTGCTGCTTTGATTGCCATGGTTAGATCTGTTTTAGCCTGAGGGGCGGGGCTTATCAACTCATTTGACCTGCTGATGCTGAAGACTCAGAGTGGAAGCCAAATCATTTTTAAAAGTGTTCAGTTTCGGTCGGACCACCTGTAGCCCACTATGGGGGGAACACAAATGAAATGGTAAGATGAGCAATATTTACACTGTTGTACTGAGATGAATGGAGGGATTTAGACACTTAACGATTGTTTGTGGCTTTTTAATCTTGTGATCCCCCTGCCCGATCATCTCTTTCTTCTCTTAAAGTATATTTTCAACATTTTAAATTGAGGCTGAAATGTAATTTATGATTTACACTGCAGAGATTTTAAAAAATCCTAAATGTTTTGCCGTTTTTTATTAAATTGTGTATTTGTTGCTACTAAAAACTCTGAAGGTTTCAGAGACATAAAACCCACTTCAGTTTTAAACTGAGGACATGAGAAGCAAAGAACCGTGGCTGCTAGTTCATTTCACATTTTTTTAAATACAGTATATGTTTGTTTTTTAATGGGATAACTACATAATGAAAAATAATTTCTGCAGATCTTGTAACCATAGCTGATTTTCAGAGTTTGCAGTTTCACAATTGGTCATATATTTCCAAGCAGTCAGTTCTGATTAAAAGAGACATAACATATAAAAAACACTATTTTAACCTTTTAAATGAAGCCTCAAAACGAGTTGATCTGTGGGGTGAAAGAGGGGCTTGTGGAGTTACAATAAGGAGCATTGCAGTTCCACTTAATGATTTAAATGCGAAAAAGAAGGATTTAAAAGCACATATTTACTGTCAGCCAGAGAAGCTTAGGTTAGACGTTAGAAAATAATTTAATCATTCAAAGTCTTAACCATAATTAAGTATTTGTGTTGAAACAAAGAGAGGATTTCATCAGAGTTCAGGTTTAATGAAGTGTTTCCTGTCCACAGTGGACCACAGCAGGCTCCGTGGACACCGCCTGCATCATCCTCACCCCTCAGAACCCCCAATATGAAAACCTTCAACACTACTTTCACTGAGCCTAGAAGAAAGAACACATGAAATACTGTAAACGTTCTCCAAAACTGTTGCTGAGCTTTAAGAAAGCTGCCAGAGTCTGAGTCTGAGTGTGCTGCTGCAGTTTAATTAGTTTGTGTTTAGAAATGATTTTATCGAATGAGTTCATAAACGATCTTTGTGTCCCTCCTGAGCTTCAGCTCCGTCAGTTCGCTGTCGTCACCACGATCTCAGCCGAGCAGCCGCTCAGACGGAGCCCAGCAGGACCATCACCAACAGGACCTTCACCATGAGGACCATCACCTTCAGGACCATCAGCATCAGGACTGTCCCAGTAGGTTCTGTCAGACCTCTCAGCAAACATGAAGCTGGTTTTCTTCTCGTGTCGCACTCATCTGTGTGTGTGTGTGTGTGTGTGTGTGTAGCAGAGTCACCTCATCCTGAAGAGGAGGCAGTGTGGGAGGACTGTCTCGGTGAAACGATGGAGAGAGAGGTGCAGGAGACCCGCAAGATGGTCTCTGCTCTACAGGTGAGTATGTGTTCAGGTTTTTGATTGAAATTCTGACAAATCCTCTGTTAAACTGGTCGGTTGACTTCCTGACGTCTGGTTTTAAGCAAATGTTTTGTTGTTTTCTTCAACAGATCTGCTGCAATATTTAAAATAAACTAAATACAATTAGAATTGTACTTTGTAAATATATTTAGATATGATGTTAGAATTACAGATTCCAAGATTGTCCTTTGGATTATAGTGATGTCTTTTTTTTTTTTGTTGTTGCGTAAAACAAATCATTAATGTTTAGTTTGACCTAAACTAATAATGTTGATGTTAGATAATGTTTGAAGCATTTATTTAGTGCTGTTTAATCACAACAATGGTTTATTTAACTTGTTTTAAAGCTGTTGATTCTTCAGTCTTTATAAAAATAATAAATAATTAAACCAAGTTTTTTTTCTAAATTGAGCTTCCAAACACAAAGTGAAAAATACCTGACTTTAAAAATAAAGTAAGCATTTCCTTTTTTTTGTTGCTGTTGTTGTTTTTTATTTCAAATTCACTCCCTAGACATTATGTAGTCATTATCAGCTCCACAACTGCTTGATTAAATTGGACTACATTTAACCTGTTATGGCAGATAAATCYTTAATAAAAGCAGGGCACCAGGTTAAATAAATAAATCAGGACGTCACAGTTGACCAGCGTTACCCGGTCAGGTTAGTGACGTCTCTGGTGTCACATGTTGGACTCTGTGTTTCCTCAGTCTCTGCTGCTGAACGGTTCGCTTCCTGAGGACGAGCAGGATGTGTCTCTAGCTTTGGACACTGGACACGCCGAGCAGCAGCTGGTAACGTTGCTCCGGGTTTTCCCCTCCAGWTTTTTTTCTTCTTCCTTCTTTTTCACAAACTCTTTGTGTTTGTTACAGATCAAATTCTTTTAGCTGCTCACGTGTGCATGACAGGGTATCGGTTACCTTTTATTTCCCCTCCGTTGCAGCGCTCTCACACACTCCTCTTCTTTCTAGGTCGTCATTCGCAGCCGCTTGGATCAGAGCATGGAGGAGGTCAGAGAGCTGAAGGTAAACAGGTGGAGAATTAGTGACGTTACTTTAAAACAATAAGTTGGATTCTGAGTGAACTTTCTGTGATCCATGTTTAATTTGTGGTGCTGTTTAGAGAGGCTTGCTGCGCTGCAAGCAGGAGGTGAGAAACCTGCAGGGGGTCAAGGTAAAAACAAAGACAAACACATTCTGGATGTTTTTGTTAATAAAGTTCCAGGTTGACATTCTGTCTGTTTTAACCTGCAGGAAGCTCAGCAGCAGAGGCTGTGCTCTCAGGAAGCATCCATTCTGCAGATGAAGCAGGAGCTGCTCCGAGCCAGCACYATGAAGGACCAGCTCAACAACCAGAACGTACGTTTATTTAAGCTGAAACTTGTGCTTCCTCATACGTCCATGTTTACAGCAGTTTCAGAACATAGTTTTTTTTTTTCTTTCTGGAATGTGTTGCAGGCTGAACTTCGGTGGAAACTGGAGGAAAGTAACAGACTGTGGGCTGAATGCAAGGTGACYCACTTTAATTTGTTTTATTACTTTAAGTTAGTTTAGTCGTCCTAACCTTGTTCCACTGCAGCTACTTTATTTTAAAAGTTTATTCTTTTTTTGTGTCTGCAGAAAGACGTCGCYCTGAAGGACAGATTACTTCAACAAATCAAGCAAAAGCTTGAAGAAAGCCAAAAACAACAGGTATGTTTAATTGTTTATAATTTACTGCCACTTTTATTAGTATCTTTTTTTTTACTTTTAAACCAGGGCTGTCAAACTCATTTTTCACCAAGAGCCACGTGAGCATTATAGTTGTAATTAATGTCAACGTTTTGTTTTTAACATTGTCTCGTTGCTACGGCTGAGCTTTACTAAAAAAAATAAATAAATAACTGAGCTCTACATGGTATTTCTTGCATACAAACAGAGACACTGAAATGTAAATGTGAAATAAATAAATACAGAAATGCTATTAAAAGTCAAAATAAGAGTTTTACTCACTGTTGAGTTGTGGTGAGTAGCTGCCGTCTTGAATTCTGGACTCTTCCGCTTTCTAACATGGAATTCCTACTACAGCGGGGATCCAGTTTAAATTCATGACTTGTAAGTGGGAAATTCCCACTTTCCAGTAAAACTAGTAGCCAACAACAATGCAGCTAAATGGAGAATTGATGTGGCAAATTTTGCCAGCTGGCAAAACATGAACTCTGTGCACCTCAATCCAGATGGGATGGGTGAAAGAATCAGCGTGCATTATGGGGGGTGTAGTTTACAGTCATTGCTGGCTTTAAAGCAGCTAATTTTTTTGTTGTTTATTGTTTAACTTTATCCATCCATCCATCCATTTTCTGTACACGCTTCTTCCTTTTCAGGGTTGCGTGGGTCACTGGTGCCCATATCCAGCAGTCACAGTGCGAGGGGCGGGGTNACCATTCACTCTCTCACTCACACCTAGGGACAATTTAGAGTTATCAATTAACCTAACAGTCATGTTTTTGGTCTGTGGGAGGAAGCCGGAGTACCTGGAGAGAACCCACGCATGCACGGAGAGAACATGCAAACTCTACCCAGAAAGGTCCCTGGACCGGGATTTGTACCGATGACCTTCTTGCTGAGAGGCATCAGKTCTACCAACTGAGCCACCGTGCCACCCGTTTAACTTTATTCATTTCATAAATTTTTTTTATATACAATAAAACAATACAAATACAATGAAATGATAGGAAGCAGAGAGAAGAATAAAAATCTTATATCTGCCCCTTTTTTCCTCAATTCAAACAAGTAAAACAAGAATATCAAATCTTTCTAGAACAACAAATTATATGGTTACTGTTTCATATTTTTTCAACAATCCACCCTTTATCATTCTCTTGAACATGTGCTTTGATTTGGCACTTTTAACATCATTTTCCTGATTATTCCACAATCTGACTCCTTGGATTGAGCTGCACCGTATTTGAAGACATTAGTACATCTTTGAAGCTCTTGCGGGCCACATTTGGCCTGRGGGCCTTGASTTTGACASGTGTTCAAGTCATCATGTGTGTCTTTCGACAGACTGAACTGCAAAGAGAGTTTGAGCGTAATAACAGCATGCTGCAGGAACTAATGAGCAGAAATCTGAGAGAGGTAACTGACTCTTTAGTTTTTCTGCCCTCTGGTGTTACAATCTGTCATTTAATCTCATAATAACACTTATTCTCCTCTCACTGTCAGGCCTCGACCAGCCCAGACAATAATGGATATTCTTACTTAGGAACGGCAGCTCCTTCTGTGTCAGGAGTAAGTATCGTTTCACTGATGGACATYTTTGAGTATTTGTTTCCTTTTTTACTGCAGGGAACTCAAGAAATCCCCACATTATTTTTAAAAACATCATCATGAGTTTTTTTCTCTTTATGAGAAGATAGTAGTATAAGAATAAACAACGCCTTTGATTTTCTTCTGGTTTCTGTGCTCTGCAGCAGGCAGAGGAGGTCCAGCTGCTCAGAGATTCACTGAGGAGTCTGAGGAACAACTTCCTGGATCACGACCCACAGCAGCACACCCTGGACACGCTGGAGCAAGGCATCGTGTCGCTCATCGACAGGCTGCACGCTCGGCACACGAACAGGGTGCCGGTTCTTCACACACATTCACTCTGACTTGTTCAGCTCAGAAAAAAATATTTGTTTTCTTTTTTTTTTAAATTAAATCTGTGTCAACATCGTTTGTGTTCAGGCAAGAGGAAAATCTCCAAGACGCAAAGGTCAGCATGCAGAGCTGGACTCCTGGCCTTCCACCAGTAAGACTTCCAGACGTGTTTGTATGTTTAAAATATTTCTGCTTTTCTWAACAGGATATGTTTCTGTTCTTTATTACAGCGATTTGTCCGTCTCACAATAGTTCCTCTTCCTCGACTAAAATCCTTTATTTTACTGGAAAAAGTCCGACACCCTCCATGATCAACATAGCCAAGAGGTTTGTTTGTCTGGGAATGCTTGAAATGAAAATATTTTAAAATGTAATAAAAACTGTTGAAAATGAAGAGGTTTTTCCTTGACCCAGGCTCGGCGAGGTGACGCTCAAAGATGTYAAGGCAGCTGTTGATCGAGAGGGAAACTACAGATATCATTTCAAAGCCCTGGACCCAGAGTTTGGCACCGTGAAAGAGGAGGTAATAAAAAATTAAACACAAAACAAAGTCCCTGGGATTTTAAGGATATTTTCACTGCGTAGAGGTTAAAATCAGGTTTACACATAAGGTTTTGACTTTATTTTAAAGGTGGTGGATGAGATCTGTTGTCTTTGTTTTGTGATTAAAATAACTGTTGATGTTTGTGAGGTTAGTGAAGATAATTTTATTTCTCTGTAGGTCCTCCTGGACGGGGCGGTCGTTCCGGGCTGGGAGGGGAAAATAGTGGCGTGGCTGGAGGAGGATCGTGGTGAGGAGAGGTAACAAGTCAACTCTGTTTGTCTAATTTTTATCCAGTTAACTTTTAATGATAATAAAGTTGTTTTCTTTTTTTTTCTTCCTCAGACCCTTGTAGCAACAAGAATTATTTTATTTATTTATTTTTTGCTCCTTGTTATCCTGATCCCAGAGGCACATAAAGCAACAGTTTGACTTTTTGTAAGCCAGCTTTGAGCACGATAATGTTCTGGTTTATTGACTGGTACTAGTCCAGTTTAGTAGCCCTGTTCACTGCAAAGCCTTTGCCTGACAAAGAAAAGTAGTTTCTCCTTCCTATTCTTATCACTGTAGGGTTTTAGCTAAAATATCAAAATTATTCAGTCAATAGAGGTGTTCTACTAAAGCTTCAGGGCTGCACGGTGGAGCAGTGGTTAGAGCTGTCACCTCCCAACCTTATACATTTTCTCCCTGTGCKTATGTGGGGTTTCTCCTGGTATTTTGGTTTCCTCCCACAGACCACAAACAAACCAACATGTWAGCTCAACTGGTAACATAAAAGTGTTGCTACGTCAGAGTGATTGGTTGTCTCTGTGATGGACTTGMCTCCAGCTCCCCAAGACCCAGAGAGAAGAAGCAGAAGAAACTCAAACTGAATTTAAAATAAATGCTGCAGATTCTAGTGCTTATATGTAAAGATGTAAAAAAAAATTAACTTTTTTTAAATTGTTTTCACCGTGTTATTTTTAAAATATTGGCAAATGTTTTTTGATTTATTTGTTTTGAAAAGAGATTAAATAAAAATCCCTTTGTTTACTTTTAAAACTGTTAGATCTAAATTGTATTACTGTTTTAGAAATGTTTGTTTAGTAACAGTAGCCCATCATTATTTATGGTTTGTGTTTTGTTAGCATAAAAACAAATCACGGTGCTTGTTAGACTGTTACATATTAATTTTTCCTTTTTTTCCCCCCAAACCTAGATCAATATTGTCTTTACTAAAGTGCCAACAAGAGTATTTTAGTTTAGTGTTTTTTCCCAATACCTTGACAGCTCTAAAATATACAATTTACTAGTSAATTGTTATTTTGCACTTAGGTTGTTACACTGAATTTTGTTTATAAAACATGGATACTGTGTGATTTGGAAAGTAATATAGAAGACTTGGCTTTGTTGAATGTTTGACAGATATTTTTGAAATAAAGCATTTTTTATTCCAGTTTATTGGTTTATAGTGTGATCATGTCTGCATTTTTGTATTTTTTTCAACCCAATGTGTCCTTTAGTTTATTTTGCATTAATGTTTGCTACATTTTTTTCTCAGCTCAAGCTGTTTATGTATTGCAATAAAATTATACTTTAAGTTCCTACGTAATTTATCACCTAAATTAAAACAATAGATTTTATTGTATCATTATTTTGTGGTTTGTTTTCATTTTATAGTTTGTAAAGTTTTGAAACCACCTGAAAGATGGAAGAGTATTTTTACGACACTTCTCGTACATCGACGGCAGCCGCGGAGCCGTAAAGCGTAGTGTTTTTTCGACAGGAGGAGGTCATAGGAAAGTGAGGAGTAAAGAAAGTCGGAGCCCAGGATTCARCTCGGACCCTGCTTATTTCTGATGCCGCTGTGAGGCAGATACATTATTTACCAACCAGGTGTAGTGTTTCAACCGCTGCAACATGCTTCGTGTYGTACTGCGGCTCAGGCCGACTCCCGGTCTCTCCTGTCCCCGCGTCCTCCCGGCGGCCGGGCCCGCTGCTGCCGCGGCGGCGCTCGGCTCTCGCTCTGTCTCCGGAACCGGGTGTCTCAGGCGGCTCAGCTGCGGAGAGGTGTCCCGGACTGTGTCCCTGGGTTCCAGCTTTAACCGTAAGACGACCTGGSCGCGGTGTCCCCACCTGGCAGGCTGTCAGAAGCGTTTCTACAGCCTGCCGCCCCACCAGAAGGTAAAGATCCAGCTGTCAGGTTACTGTGGCACCGGGACTTCAGGTGCATCAGGGCCGCACACACCTGTAAACTAATGATGTAATTTAGATAACTCTTAACTCCAGTTTATCATGATAGTTTTCACTGTTTATGGGCTGAGTGTTTAATATTTTGTTCCTACAGTAAGTACATTGTTTCAACTATTTGGTGTTTTGTCTCATTTAAACACTTAATACATATTAATATCAAGTAGTTAATTTGTACTGTGCTGACTGTAGAGGAAACTATTGTCATTTGTGCTTCAGTGGCACTTTTCACTGTTTTCAAACTCAGATTTATTATTTATTATTATCAATTATTATTTTCTTTTTAAGATGAAGATACAATTTTAAACACTAGAGTTGAGAGAAGGTTATTTTTTAGTAAGTTAGTCACTTTATTTTTTTTTACTGTATATATAGGTCATGTATGTGATAAATTGCTAATCCAGGAATGTGATTCAAAGGGATGCATGTTTACAAACACTGAACTGATCCAACATTAAGATGYTTAGATGCATTTATTCAGTGTAATTTAGTTTGATATTAAATAAACCACTGTTTACAAGTTAAACTAGTATATGTTTATGTTTAACTTTGTAACATACAGTTTCAATCTGTCTTATTAAAGGTGATGTCACATATGAGAATTATCTTGTGTACTAAATCTGTTTTTCCATTTGGTTATGCTTGTGTTTCCTGAAAAAATGGGGGAAATGGATGATTATTTTAGGAAGGTGTCACTTCATTTTTAATTACGAGTTTATTAGGCTGCAAAATTCCCTTCATCTTGTGGATTTCATTGGACTCATGTTGGTTTTAGAGCAGGAGCAGGTCTTAATTCATAATGTTTGTGTCTGGATTTCTTTGTGAATCCTCCTCAGCATCTATCTGCCTCACAAACTGGTAGCTCCTGCTTATCTTTGTTATCAGGCGTCGCCTGACCTCAGTAGCAGCCATAAAGTCCACAGATGTGAGAGAATTTGGCCGTATTTTGAACTCTGGAACGAGGTGGTGATGACGTCGCGGCTCTGCTTACAACACCTGACGTTTGGCAGCGTTTGCTRTGTGACGATGCTGTAAATGGACTGTGCTGATTTTATTTAAATGTTTTCATTCAGGTGGAGCTTCCTGCGCTCTCGCCCACCATGCAGACAGGAACCATCGCTCGCTGGGAGAAGAAGGAAGGTGACAAAATCAGCGAGGGTGACCTTATAGCTGAGGTTAGCTGTGTGCGATCTAATATAACAGTGGGAAAGCATCATGTTTTTCTAAAAATCTATGAATGTTTTTGCAGGTTGAGACCGATAAGGCCACGGTAGGGTTTGAGATGCTGGAGGAATGCTACCTGGCAAAGATCCTRGTTCCTGAAGGCACCAGAGATGTCAACATTGGCTCAGTAATCTGCATCACAGTTGACAAGTCAGCATCTTTTATTTACCTCCATGTTAAACACGTTTTCTTGGACTGTCTACCGTAAACTCAGAATGAGCCTTCACGTCTCTACAGGTGAAATTTATGTCTAATATTTACGTTTTTTTCCCCTGCAGCCCAGATCTTATCGCAGCTTTTAAAGACGTAACGTTGGACTCCTTTAAATCCACCGGTGCTACTCCATCACCCGCTACCTCCGCTGCTGCTCCTCCTCCAGCTGCTGCAGCTCCGCCTCCTGCAGCACCGGGCAGCTCCTACCCCCCACACATGAAGGTCGGRGTGCTCTTCCAACAAACACCATCAGTTCTGTTGCAAAAACTGACTTAATAGTTCATAAAAATAGAGAAAAATGAACACGTGCCGATAGAAGCAGCCTGTCAAAATAAAAGCCATAACGCGACCCATCTAGTGCAGTGACGTTTGATAACACGAAGATTTTATTTCCTCCAACATTGTAGGAACTTTATCGACTTTTACCCACACGTACATTGCGATGATGATGCTCAAAAAATACGGTGCAGCTCCAATTCTGTTTATAGTTACTGTAGCTTTTGTAAGGAGCGATGGGGGAACCTGTTGGATTTTCTGCTGTAAAGAAAATAAAATACCCTCCTGTTAATCAACTCTGTTTGTTACAGATTCCACTTCCTGCYCTCTCCCCCACCATGACCATGGGAACAGTGCAGCGCTGGGAGAAGAAAGTCGGTGAGAAGCTGAGTGAAGGAGATCTGCTGGCTGAGATTGAAACCGACAAGGCGACTATCGGTAAATCCTTAGTCTGATCCAGACAGAATTATTCCTAGTTAGTTCTTTTAAAAGCTAACTGTTAAAGGCTGGTTTAGTTGTCTTTAAATCATCTGTTGAACATGTTTGGTGTGTTTCCTCTCAGGCTTCGAGGTGCAGGAGGAAGGTTATCTGGCTAAAATCATGGTGGCAGAGGGAACTCGGGACGTTCCTCTGGGAACGCCGCTCTGCATCATCGTAGAAAAAGAAAGCGACATCGCTGCTTTCAAGGATTACGTAGAGACCGGGGTGGCTGAGGTGTCTGCCCCGCCTCCACCTCCTGCTGCTGCTGCTGCTCCTGCAGCGGTGAGACGTCTTCAGAGCTGATGTTCACCTCATCAGATGTCATTATGCAGATTTTAAACAGCCTCTGCCTGGTGGAAAGTGTGGGAGGCAGCTAGAACTGATGTGGAGATAAGGCTGCATAGATTAGCATTGTGTGTATACTGATGATGTTTTACTGCTTTATTTTTCATCCTCACATCAGCTAAATTTAAATAGAAATATGTCGTTTCTATCTTTTTTGTAGCAAGTTGTTACTTTTCTGCACAGCTGTCAGTCAGAAATGTCTGATTCATCCAGCAGTTGGATATATTTGTAAATCCCAGAAATCTGTAAGCTTTATTCTGTTTGTCATTTTTAAATTAAAATTCACTCAAGTTGTTTTGTGTTTTATCATGAAGGCTGCAGTTCCCAGCGCCGCTCCAGCAGCTGCCGCTCCTGCAGCACCGAGGAAAGGCCGCGTCTTCGCCAGCCCCCTCGCCAAGAAGCTTGCTGCCGAGAAGGGCATTGACCTGGCACAGGTCGGCGGTGGGTCACTAAAGAGAGCAACACACATGGATTTATYATAAACAAACTAACAGAAAAGTAACTGTAACATGTCTTTCCTGCAGGTTCTGGTCCGGATGGACGCATCACCAGGAAAGATATTGAGAGCTTTGTTCCTCCGAAGGCTGCACCTGTGAGTGAAACATCCTCACTGTTGGATTTTGTTCAGTCTTGATTCAGTTTCAGCTAAACTGCATGTGGTAGAACTAGACCTGTCATGATAACAAGCTTTGCTGGACCATAAATTGTCTTAAATTATCGTGATAAAACTAATATTGTTTGGAGACTAATATAATGTTCCCCCAAACACACACAGGTCTGGTTTCTGTATGCCCGTGGGAACCGTGGATTGACTTTCATTCATTTTTTTGGAAATTTTATATCCTAACACTGATCATTTATCCTAAGGCTAACCTCACAGGTACCTGACCCTAAAACTAACCTAAACTCAATTCACACCTTGGTCCTAAACCCAACCCACCAACCGAAATTTTATTTTGGACCTGTGGGGACCGGGTATTAGTTCCCATGATGCACGTTTGGTCCCCACGAGGCTGCTTTTTCTGGAAAATTGTCCCCACAATGTAGGAAAAACAATGCCACACACACACAGCAGCTGAAGCTGGACCTCCCACCTCCTTTATCCAAGCTGGCACAATTTATTCTGTGTTTTCGACTGGATTCATAAACTACTTAAAAAGTTTACGGAGGTTTACAAAATGTATGCAGTGTATAAAAATCAACTGTTGGTGAACCCGAGGTTCAGCACGGTGCCCTGAGGTGTCWCCAGCTGAAAGAAGGTGTTGGAAAACTGAAGACGCTCCTCTAACTAAACACCTGTTCATGTGGCTCTCATGCTGCAGAGATTAGAGAACATTCACCTGGTAACTGATGCAGAGTTCACTCCTCCCTATGCTGAAAAGTAGAAAAGAGGGAGCCATTATTGACCTCATTTATCATGCGATTWATTGATTTGTTGTTATCYTGACAGGCCTAGATTAAATCTTAGTCTGCAGGTTATTTTTATTCTAATGACATGTCTTCCTGTCAGGCTGCAGCTCCCGCTCCAGCTGCTGCCCGAGCTGCTGCTCCTCCAGCTGCTGCTCCGGCTGGCACCTTCACAGACATCCCCATCAGCAACATCCGCCGGGTGAGAGCTCACACACACACACACCTCTGACTTCTGCTGGTCAGAGAGAATTTTCTCTTCTGCCAGCACCGACAGGCTCCCTCTGTCCAGAGCACCAGGCTGCTGTGTTCAGAGCTTTGAAGTCAACATCCTGAGGCGTTTTCACAGTTCAGCTCTGTGATCTCTGAGCCGTGCTTCCACGTTCCGCCCCACAGTCAAGCTTCTCCGTTTATCAGAACACTTCTGAATTACAGATCAACATTAARGTGTTTGTCTGTCCTCCAGGTCATCGCTCAGAGGTTGATGCAGTCCAAACAAACAATCCCCCACTACTACCTGTCTGTAGACGTCAACATGGACCAAGTGCTGGAGCTCCGAAAAGAGCTCAACGAGGTCAGGTTTGCTCYTTGTCAGAAGACGTGTTGATTTCTGTGACTAATTAAAAACATAATAACCTCCACGCCTCTTCCCTCTGCAGGAGGTGAAATCCCAGAACATTAAACTGAGCGTGAACGATTTTATCATCAAAGCCAGCGCCCTGGCCTGCCTCAAAGTTCCTGAGTGCAACTCCTCCTGGTTGGACACGGTCATTCGTCAGTGAGTAATAAACACGTTYACAGTGTCTGCTGGTTGGTTCTGGTAAACAAACAGGTTGGCTGTTATTCTGGGAGCTCATTGTTAGTGTTTTCAAAACTGAAAATCCTCAGTTCAGATATTATTAAAGAGATCTCTGAGTACATGTTGCTGTAAGATGTTTCTCTATTTTATTAAAAGATGTGTCTCTCTGTTACATTTTTCTTACTGACACAATGCATTCTGGGGATGATAGYTTACAGTTGAGACTAAAACAGAGACAATATATTTCTATTTTGTATTAGTTTCTATGTTTTTTGCTCAATATAACGGTTGGAACAATCAAATGTGATGTTTAGTAAATTAGCTTGGGAGCTAACCTGAAAGCCAACAGGCTAAAGTTGAGGTTAGCTGTCCATGAAGCAGCTCTGTTGTCCGTCATCCTTATTTCTACATTCTCTSTGTAGGGTTGGGCAAAATCATGTCATGCAAATAATAGTCAGAAAAAACYTCAACAATTAATATTTGTCACTTGGTAATTACTGCGGTTACTGCCATGTGATGGCATATTGTGTGCAACACACCATCAGGCACACATGTAATGCTAATGCTAACWCTGCAAACTTGTTTTATCCCCTGAAGCACCAACATAAACTGGAGTATGAGGAAAGCCAGAGAAGGCGTACCCAGGCTACATCATTAACAAGTGATGTTGTCATATATTCATTGTTAAATTAATTATTTTATTTGGTCTCCCAGTGTTATAAACTATTTTGCCAATATCACCCCTTCCTTTAAATCGTGGACAATATCTGATCATCATATTGTACAAAATGAATGCTCAAGCAGGACAGAGCTCACAGTGGAGTAGAATGCTTTAAATAACTATATACAGTACTTTTTATATTTATAAAAACTAAAACTGTACAGTATTTTTAAAGTTGAAGTAAAAGTTTATTAAATAATGTTTGAGTTCCCTTTAGGATGCTTTACTTGCTAATGTGAGCTAATTTAAGTCTGGCTGGTTGTGTTCACGAGTAAAAAAATAAAGGGAGACTGATTTATGAGTGAAGTGAAATTAGTTTCACCTTCATACCAGCAGAGGGCACTAAAGGCTCATTATTAAAACATTTTCTCCATGTGAAAACGATCACGTTGACCACGTCTCTGTCCACTTGTGTTTCCAGGAATCACGTGGTGGACATGAGCATAGCGGTGAGCACKGCCAACGGCCTCATCACACCCATCGTGTTCAACGCCCACATCAAAGGCCTGGCCGCCATCAGCTCCGACGTGTCGGCCCTCGCCGCCAAAGCCAGGGAGGGCAAACTGCAGCCGCACGAGTTCCAGGTGCGGCGCGTGGTCTACCTGTTCAGGTGTAGTGGTTCAGTTTCACGTGACGTGCTTCTCACAGACCTGTTTCCCACCAGGGAGGAACGTTCACCATCTCCAACTTGGGGATGTTCGGCATCAAGAACTTCTCGGCGATCATCAACCCTCCTCAGGCCTGCATCCTCGCCGTKGGAGGCTCGGAGAGGCGGCTGATGCCCGCTGACAACGAGAGAGGGTCAGTATGGACGTGCCGCAACACGCCCCGGCTCCAGACTCGATGGCTCTTAACGTTTGTCGGTTCCACAGGTTCGACGTGGCGAGCTTGATGTCGGTGACGCTGAGCTGTGACCACCGGGTGGTGGACGGGGCGGTCGGCGCCCAGTGGCTCGCAGAGTTCCGCAAGTTCCTGGAGAAACCYGTCACCATGCTGTTGTGACGAGACTGCGAGCGGCAGCGAACAGACGGCGAGGTCTCTCACTCAAGAGGTGTGGGCGGTCCGGATCCTCCTGCCCACCAGGTCACTCCCAGATCWCCTGAAGAGGGCGGGGCAGAGGAAGAACTCACTCCGCTTTTACCTGTCTGTCCTTTTCTGTCTTTGTCTCTTCTTGTCCCCCGTTCACTAACTATTTATTCTGGCCCAATCTAATGAGAAACAATTTATCTTTAGGGGGAAAAGTTTATTAAACTATTAAAAATGATTTGCAAAAGACAAAAATGTTTCATGTCCAGCTAGGAAAAGGTGTGTGTGTGTCTGGTGTTTGTTTCCTTTTTAGGACAGTTTCTGGTATAAACACCTGCCTTGTCAGGACCAGTCCTTTTGGGGACCAGAGACTGGTCTTAATCAGGTGGAACATTATTGATGGGTGGTGGGTCAGACTACAGACATGACTGGAAGTCAGTACACGGTCCTAAAAAGGAAAGAAATACCAACTTGTGTGTGTGTGTGTGTGTGAACATCTATAGGCTTTTATCTGAGTTTGTGTTAATACTCTACAGAAAACAGGAAGTGCCATGGTTTTAAATAATGAATTATAGTTTTTGTTTGTTTGCTGGCAAGAAAAGCGAGGACACACAAACACACACACACTGTTTCTGTGGGTTAATGCTGCAGTGTGTATATTCACTGTGCGTGAACACAGTGCTGTATATTTATGTAAATGATGGCGAGCTGTTTCGTTCAAGTAACCAGTCTCCATGGAGATCTCAATGTAAAATTTACAAACTGTAATTTACTGTTTGGTCCTGAGTGACAACAGCTCCTCTGACAACAAACATGGAACTGTTTTGCCAATGCTCTCTTCAGTCTGTTTTGAATTCCTCTTTCTCTCAGCTGAAACGCACAAACCTGGTGCTGGATGTGATTTGAATAAATCTGGAGAGTTAAACCTCAGGCTCTTTGTTTGCTGTCAGTAGACTTCACTGTGAGTCTAACCATGTGATCAGAACCTGTGGAACACAGGAGAACTTGCTGAGCTGCACATGGGTTCAGTCAAGATCTTCAACCTCCTGTTATTTGTTCTTTTTAAAACTTGGTCAGCTGTTACTATGAATTTGTTCCGACCCGCACCAAATAAAAACAAATCTATGGCACCTGAACCAGGCTCAGAGTGATGGTTTGATATTTCAACATCTGCAGAAACGAGGACGTTCCTCCAGTTGGTTGTAAAAAAAAAAGAAGAAGCTGAGAGTTAAAGATCTGTTACATCGCAGCCCTCAGATGTGGGTCAGGACCAAAGGAAGGAGATCCTGGATGCTGATGAGTGCGATTTGTTTCAGACCTGTACCAGTGAGGATCTCCAGGAGCTGCRTCTGCAGCCTGACCTCTGAGAAGCTGCTCAGAATGATTCATGAAACTGAACGAGCTGTGACTTCAATTAAAACCTTGTCTGAAAAAAAAGTGTATATATAAATAATAAAATGTATATACACATATTGAGATATAGCTATGAAGATAGAGACATGCAGAGAGAAAAATATGGATCTAGAGAGTAGATACACTGATATAGATACTAGATAAATAGATACACCATGATTGAAAATATAGATCTAGACAGACACACAGTGATTGAAAATTATAGATGCAGACAGACACACAGCTATTGAAAAATGTAGATCCAGACAGGTAGATACGCAGTGATTGAAAAACATAGATCCAGACAGGTAGATACGCAGACAGTGAAAATTAGAGGTTTGTTGCAGATTTTTCATTATATGCGTATCTACCTGTCTGGATCTATATTTTTCACTAAATCTACATTTTTCAATGTATGCGTATCTACCCATCTAGATCTATATTTTTCAATATATGCGTATCTACCTGTCTGGATCTATATTTTTCAATATATGCGTATCTACCTGTCTAGATCTATATTTTTCAATAAATGCGTATCTACCTGTCTAGATCTATATTTTTCAATATATGCATATCTACCTGTCTGGATCTATGTTTTTCACTAAATCTATATTTTTCAATACATGTGTATCTACTTGTCTGGATCTATATTTTTCACTAAATCTATAGTTTTCAATATATGCATATCTACCTGTCTGGATCTATATTTCTCAATATATGCGTATCTACCAGTCTGGATCTATGTTTTTCAATATATTGTATCTACCTGTCTAGATCTATATTTTTCAACAAATCTATATTTTTCAATATATGCATATCTACCTGTCTAGATCTATATTTTTGGATGGATGGATGAATTGTACATGTTAGGTTTGTGGAGACCTAATAGAGTGCTGTGTGAATTGGATAAATGAGGACACAGATTATAGTGTGAAGCACTYAGTATCCTGTTTGGATAACAAGGTTCTTCTATACAAGTATTTACCAGACAGATCTGATTAATAATGACCCAGAAGTAAAGAAAGATGATCTGTTGCTTTTATTGTAGATGTCTGTAGGACAAAAACAGGCAGGAACTCAGACATCATRTCTCTGAAATCACCATGGTAATGCTGTGATGAAAGATGGGTGAGAAGAGTCCAAACAAAGAGACATGGACACGAACCAGCTGCTGTCAGCACCTGGAACTTAGACAGAAAGGTCAACATGAAAAGGTCACATTCTACTGCAGAATCTTCACTTCCTGCTGGAGCTCAAAACTGAGCGCCGCCTCTTTAAATAACCAGTTCTAACTGCTGGCACTGATTCCATCCTAACTGTGCCTCATGACCGGAGGACTGGCTTTGGTTTTGGACTGGTGGCAGAACCACTGTGAGCTCAGTGGYTCTGATCCCAGCAGCTCCTCTGACTCACAGACTGTTCCTGTGAATCCATCAAACSGCTGCGTGTGTTCAGCCCACAGGTCGGGAGGGGAGGGGCTTCTCATGGCCACACGCCTCGCTGCAGGGGTCCRCAGATCTGTGCACCGCCACCACTCCAGAACCTGGTCCACGTCCGAGGCTCTTCAGGGTCCAGCTGAGATTTACAAGAAGCGCTAATCAGAGAYACAAACTCAGCTGATGAGTCACAGAGACTGTCCTCTGTTACTGTGTCCCCTCAGGGTCTCTGAGAGACAAGACTGTCAGGGCGCTCAGAGACACTGTTGGGACAGGAGGCTGGAACAGTCCTGTCACTCAGAGGGGACAGTGGAGGAGGGGACAGAGCAGGAGGGGACAGAGGAGAAGGGGGCAGTGGAGGAGGGGACAGAGGAGGAGGGGACAGTCTCATCACTCAGAACATTTTTTCACATCCGGAGCTTCAGTCCAGAGTCCGACTCTTGGTCAGAGATGGGTTCTTGTGGAGGATGGATGGTCTGGACTCTGTGGGCCAGTTTCCTGGCTCAGAACGGTGAGTCTTCTGTCTGATGAGACAAAGATGAGACATCATGGCTTCTCAATGTGGACACAAGACTGAATTTTTTTGTCAACTTTTGTAGACCTGATCATTTCCAGTTCCTCAGTTAAACCAACGAACTGTTAGATTTATTTGTTATTAATTGTCAGAACTGATTAGAAATGAAAACATTTGAACTCTAAACTGAGTCCAGTTTCTGTCCTGACGTCTCAAACCTTAATGAGCGAGTCTGAACGCTGACATGAACGGCTGAAAGTGGGCTGCTGTTGTTCGTCTCACTCTGTGATCACTTTGGCTCACTCTCAAAACTGTCAGACCTAATTAACACACACGCACACACGCGCACACACGCACACACGCACGCACACACACACACACACACACACACACACACACACACACACA